TAAGTGGTGGACAAAAAAAAAAGAAAGAAAAAAGGGTAGAAAAAAATAAAAAGCCCGTATTTTGTTAATACTGTTTTTGAAAAATTTATTTGGAAAACGTATTCCGTGAATACGTTTTTCTTTGTAAAAAAAATGTGAAAAACGTATTTAGTAAATAAGTTTTTTAATTAAATTATACAGAAACGTATTTTGTAAATACGTGCTTTCTATGTTGGTCCACTCCCCTCTTTTATTTTTTTATTTTTTGTCCACTTATTATTTTTTTATTAATAAATATATAAATTGCCCGAGCAAAATGTTGTAATTTAAAATAGTTATATTTTTTTTTACAGTGGGGAGTAGAAATAGGACCGAAAATAGCAAATTTAGTTCCAACTTCCCATTGCTAGGCCAAAGGCAACGACATATACCACTCATCTCCAACAATTTATAAGATCAGATGCAACAACTTTTGTTCCACTCTTATCTATCCAAAAAAACGTTATAAATAGACAAACTACAGAGCTTCTTGTCATTCACAAGCAAGTGACTTTACGTTCAAAACTATCTAACATCCTTTTTCAATAAACTTTGTCGTCTTAATTTCTCCAAAAATGTCGAGCGCTCAATTTAATGCTGGACAAGCTCACGGCCAAGCTCAGGTATTTTTCATGTAAATTTACATTCACATTCGTACACTAAGGCTTATGTTCTGGTAAACTCCGCTCATAAGTTAGCTGATAGTTGATAAACTAGCTTATAGTTTATTAGTATTTTTCGAGCTTATGGCTTATAAGCTATCTTATATGATAAAAGTGTTTGGTAAAATTAGCTGATAAGCTAACTGAAATACAATTATTAGTTAATCTTTTTTTTTTCCTTCGTTATCCTTTATTGATGTATGTGCATATTGTACAGGGCCAGACTGAGCAATGGATCGAGTCGGCTAAAAGCACCGCAAGTCAGGCCCACGACAAAGCCTGCGATGCGGCCGGGAAGACCCAAGAGCAAGCCCAACTTAGTAAGGAGGAAACAACTGGATTCCTTCAACAGGTTTCTAATTCAAGCTTTTCAATAAAATCTAATTAAATTTAGCAACAAAAATCATTTTCTTTATGTTTTTATCTTGAATTCTAATTGACAAAATAAATAAATAAATAAATAACAATTAAAATGTTGGTCATTATATTTTCATTTGTTTGTTATGGTATAATATATTGCAGACGGGAGAACAAATTACTCATTTGGCTCAAGGCGCGATTGATGGTGTGAAGAATACTCTTGGGATGGGCGATAAGAAGTGATCAATTCATTACTAGAGATTAAACTATTTTGATTTATTTTCATATATATTTTAGTGTGACGCTTTTCTTCGTTGATGATGTTGTAATAAGATCTGACAAAACAATGTATGGATCATGAGAATATAGGTTTAGGTTGTGTAATTTTTTTTTTTTTCCTTCAAAAGTAATCTTTGATTGAGAATTTTCGTATTGAAAGTTCCATCACTGTTAATAAAGTGCCATTCATTTTTTATACTATTGTTTCATCTTATTTATTTATTTATATTTTTAGATTTATGTCACATGTATAAATATTAAAAGTTGTGTATCTTAATCTATATCTATACTATTATAAAAGAGCCAATAAATCTGTAAAAATATAATATGCCTACAATACCCTTACTTTTTCATATCTATAATGTCAAATTTGTAATTTATTACTCATTCTATACTAATATTTTTAATTATTATCTATACTATTATAAAAGAGCCAATAAATCTGTAAAAATATAATATGCCTACAATACCCTTACTTTTTCATATCTATAATGTCAAATTTGTAATTTATTACTCATTCTATACTAATATTTTTAATTATTAACTAATATAATAATGATTTAAATACCTAAGCGAAGAGAAAACCACATTCTAGCGACCAGACACTCCACTTGCGTAACCTCTGGAGAGTAGCTAATTATCAATGCCTTTTATTTTTCACAATATCTCCTTTTGAATTTTTTTCACTCCGCATTTTCAGTAATATTAAAATTTGAACAAACTTTTAAAATTATCAAAATGTGTTTGTTTGATAGTGTACAGAACACCAAAATTATGACATTAGCTTACCAAATGGTAATTTTTTATAATTTAGTCAAGCAATGTATTATCGGTACAGTAAAAACGCAAATTAAAGAAAAAAACTAATAAGAAAAAAAACACATGACATAATATGAAAGAAAACAAAATAATTTTGCACATGAATTTATAAAAATATTAGCAATTATTAAAATATAAAAAGTATGTTATTACTTCACTTTTATTATTTTTATTAATATTTATATTTAATTGCTATAAGAAATATTTGAGCACAATAATAACTTGATTAGAAAAAAATAATAATGCTAACTAATATCAATTTTTATTTTTATTATAACTATACATTTATAAATTATTTACTACATAGTTTAGTTAAAAGGTGTCTTTCATTAAAGTAAAGTTAAAAAAATATTTTTATCAAAAAAGTCAATTTTTAAAAAGAATCAAAAACTTATAAACTGAAATATAGTGATAAAAACTACTGTACAATAGAACAATGAAGAACATTAAAAAAATGAAATGCGAAGACGTAATGCCAAATACATGAATATTGATTGCTTAAGATATTTTTTATATTTGATATATTTATAATATAAAACTATTATTACAATGATTATCAAATATATTTTAAAATTAATTGAACGTAGTTATCAAATATATTATAAAATATGTCAACTTTAAATTGCGCTATAAGAAATATTTGAACACAATAATAAATCCATTATAAAAAAATAATAATGCTAAGTAATTTTAATTTTTATTGTACTATAAATCTATAAATTATGTACTATAAAGTTTAAAAAATATTTTTATCAAAAAAGTCAATTTTTAACAAGAATCAAAAACTTATAAATTGAAATATAATGATAAAAACTACTCTATAATAGAACAATAATGAACATTAAAAAAATTAAATGCGAAGACATATTGCCAAATAAATGAATTTGATTGCTTAAAATATCTTTTACATTTGATATTTTTATAATAATAAAACTATAATTACAACGATTAGTAAAAGAGATAAAAATATAAGATATAGTAAAATTATAAGTATGAATAATGACAAATAAAATTCAGTTAACTAAAAACAATTGGATGTAGTAATCAAATATATTATAACATAAATCGACTTTGAACAGAGTTATAGAAAATATTTGAATACAATAATAAATTGATTAGAAAAAATAATAATGGTAACTAATATTAATTTTTATTTTTATTATATTATAAATTATGTACTGTATAGTTTAGTTAAAAGGTGCATTTCATTAAAGTAGAGTTTAAAAAATATTTTTATCAAAAAAGATAGTGTATGCAACTAATATACATGAAAGTGTAAGGATTCACTCAAAATTTTTTTCTGACATCTTTTGACGATTGTGCAAGATTTAAACAATGTGAGTTCCAAATAATTTAGATAATTATATGTTGCTCTTTTTGAAAATATGCACTTTCAATTAAATTAAGAGGTCATAATGTATATAAAAATATTTTTAAAGAAAATATATTAAAATTAAGTAAAAGTAACTAGCCATACTTTAAGAGTATTTATATGTATATAATTTGAAATTAGTAAAATATAAAAAATTAATTTAAACTAAAAATTTATCCTAAAACGACATTGTTTTATGAATGAGACTGTAACAACTATTTTAGTTTTTAGTTAAGTATTCTGAACGATGATCTGGACTGACTATTAGAATTTTTTTACAGGCTTGATAAAATCATAGAAAATAACGTTACATTATATGACATAGTTAAAGTTTTGTTCAAGTTTATATGTGTGTGTGTGTGTGTATATATATATATATTTAATTTTACCATATAATATTATTATCCATCTAATTGGAGGAATTTTAAGATTTGCAGTTATGAACTTAAGATTATACATGTTATGTGGTCCACCACATATTAATTGGTTGATATTTATTCAACTACAATTTTATGAGCATTAAATGTGACCTGAAGACCAAAACTATCGTTCATTACTTCATTGTATATGATATAACACTTTTAATTAAATCAATTTATTTCTTAATTGGAAATGAAAATATAATTTACCAAACAAAATATTTTCAATCTTTTTAAATTGTTGTTTTAAGATTATTGGAATCTAAATGAGATTGTGCACCATATGTTTGTAATGGCTCATGAATTATAATATAATATTTGAACATAAAGAAAAAACTAACCAAGATTAAATTTTAGAATATATTTATAACTCATGAAAATGACTATAAATTATTATATTAAGTGAAAAAATGCATATGAAAATTATGTCACTGGAAAAAGGGAATGTAATATGAATAACATTTAAAAATTTTGCTAACAACAAAAAAAAAGAACAACATAGTCTTTTAGTCCCAAGTAAGTTGGGGTAGGCTAGGATGAAACCAAGAGAACCAATGGTAAGAGAAACACAAAAAAGGCTCAAAACAAAAGGAAGAGATT